TCAAGTAGGAGAGAGACAGATGTCGAACGCTGCCGAACGCGGAGGCCGATTGTGCCTCTTTGTCGCTCGTTCCGCGCTCTCGCTTGCACTTCAAGCCTTAAATGGAACGCCTCAGAGCGACGTAACGCCGCATGAGTCATGTTTTTTCGTGCGTGCAGTCGGCTCCATCGAATTTTAAGACGTTATCACGTCAAAAAATTTAAGGAAATTTGACACTTGAAAAAATCCAATCCTCTTTTGTATATTATCTCTATCCGTGTATCATTTTAATCAAGACCAGTTACAACTTATATATTATGCAGCAAACAGTGGCGTAGTGTAAATTTCTGCCACCCGGGACGAAGCCTTCCTATTTCCTTGTATATTTTTTATGGTATAGGGACGGGACCTGGTTGGTGATTATATTAGTAATATTTATTTATTTATTTTTATGATTTGGTAGGTTGGTGTATGTTCGAAAGCAAAATGCACCTTCAGGGATTCCCCCAAATAACTGATTCGCTGTCATGAGTTGTTTTATGATTACGTCAAAAAGATTTGAAAACAATATGAAGGTACCAATGTTTGCGTAAACATGGGGGTGGAGGGGGTAAGAGATTTGCTTACCTTTGCTGACAAGGGGGTTAAAATTACTAAAACTTTTTTCCATATGACACAAGAACAAACTGAAAAGCTCAAAACCCCAACGCCAAAACACGACACTCTTAGTTTACTTCAGTCCCTGAAGAAGGTAACTTTGTTACCGAAAAGTGCTTCGAACAACTACAGTGTCGTGTTTTGGCGTTGGGGTTTTGAGCTTTTTTGTTTGTTCTACAACAACCGCCAAAGTTTTTCCAATCTTCATATATGACACAAGGTTTGTAAATTACAACAACATAATTAATTTCAATTCAAAATGTGTTAATTTACCATATTTAATAGGAACAAACGCAAAATTAAGCATGTATATTTGCAAAGGTCTCACAAAACTTACTTCATTTACTTACATAATTCAGAATAGCAAACGGATTTATTTTGAGGATTCATCTCAGGATTTATGAAGAATTGTAAAGGTTTCTGTTCTTCAAATAGCCATCACGACCTTGATCTTGATCGTCAGTATTTAATTTTCGCTAGGAGTATATGTATTCTTTCCAAACTTTTGTAATGTATTAAGGTTTGTGCATCATTTTGCGGATGTAATCGAAGGTACCTGTCCCTATCATAGAGTGAACCGTTAGGGTCTGACCATTCGACTTCTAGCGTTTGCTATTTTGACTATGAAAAAATGCTGTTTTTATGTCTAGATACAGGATAGATGCTTTTTACAGATTTTTAACAACACAAATATCTTGGAACTTTTACGAGTCTAGACGGTAATGCTTCTTACATGATACAAATATTAAAAATTGGTACAAATACTAAGAAATTGGGGCATCTAAAATTATTGCAAGACGGACCTGATTCTATCTAATACTTGAAAAATATTTTTTACTTTTTCGCCGCCCCGGGGCCCATGGTCCCCTCTGCCTCCCCATCATGCTACGCCACTGGTAGCAAATGCGTTTAGCTACCCTTGTAATAAATACGGTATTGGTGTAAATGCTTTGTTAACGTCCGGCTCCCTAGCACTTGCGAAGCCCCTGACAAATGTTGTGGGCGTGTATTCCCGCGTGCTACAACGAAATTGATCACAGAAAACTTTGTTTCGCTTCGAAAAGTTGGATGTTGGCCCCAGCTCGGTAGTCTTGAGGGTGAATTAGATTTTTCGGCTGGTAATTATGATCCGAAATGGACTTACTTGAACAGCACTTTATTAGGTTCTATTTCACATTAGCGAAAATATATCATATTAAGTAGAAAAGGAACGTAACACGTCATAGATACCTACAGTAGGAATGATAATAACAACAGATTTGTGATTTGTCGTCATTTGATTGAATAAACTCTGTTTCTGGGGATCAAAAATTAGTTTCTTACACAGCTAGCATAAGAATTAATTTCAATGCCAACACATTTTCCATTGCACCATTAATTATTTTGCGTTTAATGCTGATTTGTAAAAAAAATATATAAAAAGTCAATACAGTTGATGTCAATACACCAACGCATTATTTAATTGGATAAATTAAACATTGAAATTAAAATTTCTACATAAAAACATCATAATCAGTTATAGAGACATGTCTAACTAATTTTATTGTGTGGAAGCTCCGTTTGATTTATTTTTATAGGGTGATTTAGCTTAACTGAATCCTTATCATGCTTTTCGATCAGTTGTGTGAATAATAGGATAATTGTAGTCTGCAGTTGTGTAATATTTTAAACTGTTCACATTGTTAATTGCTGAGATGACGAAATGTTGCCTACAGGCAAACGGACGAGTATATCGAAAGATCATCGAGGAGATTTTATCCTTTCGGTAAATAGAATAGAAAATAGGGTAAGTTCTCGGGTTTTCACAACTCTAACAACTACCGACACTATTTTCTTTAAAATTCATGACAAGCTCGCATAAATAACAAAAAATTTCAGCATTTAAGACAATTATTGTATGGGTTAATAGAAAAATTTGTACGAGACCAATACTAATCCTGATACAGTCTTGTTCTTGATCTTACTCTACTTGCCACTAAATACAAAACAATTTTATTTTTAAAAGTAACAACTACACCATAAACCATAAATAGATGGAATGGTTTCATTTTTCAAAAGAAAATTTTAATTTTATTTGTTTGATAGATATTTTGTATGGATATAGAGAAGGAGGTAAATGGGGCTTTTATATTTTGAATAGTATCTTGCAGAAGAAAAAAATGAAAACTACAAAAACAAAACAGTTAACTGATGTGTCTAATACAAATATTTAGATAGTCGAAAAGCGAATGTAAATATATTCCATGATCCATGATATGANATAAATAAATATTAATAATTGCGCCAATAAGATTCTGTCCAGTTTAATCCAACCTGTTATTTTGCTCGCTGGATAATTGCCACTCATTTTCTCCCAAAAACTTAAAAGATCCTGTTGAAGCTAGTTAAAAAGGCAACTCAATAGTCGCTAGTAAATTGATTTTTTTAAAAACTGGCAGCCGAATTTGTAATAAGTATAGTTTAATAATTGTATAAGGAAATAGTAATATGAAAAGTTGATTTTTGAGTTAATGATGTTGACGCGTTATTGTTTTTACAGATTCTCCGATATGTAAACAAGAAAAAGAGGAGCTTTATGGTGCTTTAAAGCAGGAGACGGTGCTTTTAAAATGTGAACTGGACGCTAATCCAAACATTGTGACCTTTCACTGGACATTCAATAATTCTGGTGATCAAACAGAAGTGCCAGCCACGAGGTTTACAAGCGAACATGCAACCTCACGACTCAACTACACACCCATATCCGACATGGACTACGGAACTCTCTCCTGCTGGGGAGAAAATGCTATCGGCCACCAACGATCCCCTTGCGTCTTTCAAGTTGTAACAGCAGGTAACACCACCTTTTGCTATACAATTTTATTCAAACGCCTTAAATCGAAAATTGCACTTTTGTCAATTACTTGCAAAAACCACTCCTCAATTTATAAAGCGTTTTTATTTATTTTCAATGCAAAGTAATTGTACATACTTTATTTCGTAATGATTGGGAAGTAAAAATGTAAACGGCCATGTAATACTAAGTAAATACTAAAGTAATTAATTAATAAGTCTATTGGGATCCGTCAAATGGGAGGAGCCCAAAAACATGGCGCCGATTAGGGAAAATTTATCGTAGTTCCTATAGTGTACCGTGCAATTTCCAAGTTTTTAAATTACGATAAAATGATAAGTATTAACACAGTATGTGATTGGGCTGTCACAAAGCCTCGGAAAGGAAATTTCGTTGTAGGTGAGCGTGTTTTTAATGCCAATCACATTATAATTTTCGGAAATAACAAATCCGGAGCAACAGGCGAACATGCAGTTATATACAGAGCTGGAGCTACAATATAGAGAAGTAAATATTAGGAAGGGAGTCAGACAGGGATGCATACTATCACCGCTACTTTTCAAGACGCCAACAACATCATTAAAGAAGTACAACTGTAGGGATAGATATACAGGTGCAAAGGATTAGTATGCTTAGATTTGCAGATGATATAGCAGTATTAGCATCTAGCAAGGAGGAGTTAGAGATAGCTTTAAATAAAATGGAAGCGGTATTCACAAAACAGTATTATATAAAAATAAATAAAACTAAAACAAAAATACCTGTATAGAAGGGAAGAAAAAAGTAGGGAAAGAGCGAATAGAAAGATAGGAAACGAAAAATTGTGACTGATTTTAGGTGTCTAGGAAGTCAGATAAGTTAGGATAAAAGGAGTAGCAGGAATATAAAGCAGAGGATAGCGCAGAGACATATTAGAGGCATAAACAGGAGTTAAGAGGAGTAGAGGTAGACCTAGATTAGGTTACTGTTCGCAAATAGTTAAGAATGTCGGTTGTTGTAATTTTGAGGAAATGCGATGATTAACTCAGGTGCGTGTTCAACCAATCTTAGGATTGACGACCTTATGGTGATGACTTTAAGCAAAGTACCTCGATAATGGTTGGCTGATTTGTTGTACAGGTAGTTTAAAAAAATTCAAGTAAAACATTCGCAGTGTTATCGTTGAATTTTCTTAACAAAACAGAGCTACTTTTTTCCAAGTGAAGTTGTAGTTTTGTATGAAAACAGAAATGAGAATGAGCAGCTGTAAATATAATGTAGTAAAAGTGCACTGGTCGGGTTAGAGGTGCACTTGGAGCTCGTAACAGCCTTTTTCGCCTGATTGAACATAACCTTTAACCATCTCGTACTTTGTATGTTCGATGACGTTATAAAAAAGTAACCCGCTGTAAATTCGTACGTGTTTTAATTAATATTGAAGAGAAAGGATGCAATAAAATGCAATAAGGTCGGTCGGTCGTTCGGTCAATAAAAGACTGGCCGAATAATACTTAATAAAAACGCCAACTTGGATTACAATGCAGTGGGTTTTTATGTTTTATGTATGAATGCAAATTTGAGTGCACAGACAACGACAAAAGAGAGTCACTTAAATCAACATCTTAACTTGACTGCAAATTTATGTAAAGTCGACAAAATGTATGAGAGAGAACCCGAACGAATTTATGTTTATAAAATTCCTGCGCTGCCCGATTTGTTTCCTGCTGCCTCGAATATTCCTCCCAAGTTTTTTGTGCCTTTAAAGTTCCGTTCTCGTTTCTAAAATCTTAACCGTTGCTGCGCCGTCGGGAAGACATTCCAACTCTATAAAGGAAACCCGAAGAAAAAGGGAAATGAAACAAAAACTCGAACGAGCTTACATTGTTGTCGAAACATAAAACGCCAAACGTTCTTCTACTATACAAGTGGGGCAAAACGTTCACGAATGTCATCTATCCAAAAATATCTTTCTGACAACTGTCCTAAACTAACTCAACGAACTCTCAAAATATATTGAATAAAGCCTAACACCCCCGCTTCAAAAACTCTAAATTGCATTGTCACTCTTTCATGATAGTATTTAATAGAACATCCCTACTATGTTTAGGGTTGACGTGCAAGGCACGAATCAGGTTTTGAGGCCACTGTGGTACTATACTAAAGGTATAGTAGAGACGATTAAAATTGGCATATTTCCATAATTGTTTCCACTTGAGAACTGTAGTCATTTGTTACATTTTGAACACGCCTTTATTAATTTAGGAAATGCTTCATGAATAATACAGACAAAGTGAAAAGAGACAACCGAGTAATAGTAAGCGGTACAGCAGTTACACATTAATCGGTTTAATGTTATTCCTTTTTCTTTATTAGTGTCCGCTGCAATTCCTACATGACATCTCTTTTCTATGTTTACGATTTTTTCTACAACGTCTGACGTGTGTAAAAGTAGGCGTTCTGCAGCAACAGCTCTAGCCTATTTAGTAAGTTGAAAGAAGAAAGTAAATGCGACTGTTTTACTGCTTAGAAAAGAGATGTCAAATAGGAATTGCAGCGGACACTAATAAGGAAAAAGGGATAACATTACATCGATTTATGTGCAACAGAAAGAGATGCGGTCAAACAAAATTTGAGCTTGTTGTCAGCATCGGGCTTTAAAGAAAGGTGAACATTTTCTGAAATTTAGGAACGCAAAGATATAATTCCAACCAGGCAGCCGGTCCTGATGTTTTACGTACCTAAACAATCCCTAACCGCTGCACCGCTTCCTATTAGTCGGTTATCTCTCCTCACTTTGTCTGTACTACTCATGAAGCATTTCCAAATTTAACAAGTGGAAACAAGAAAAAAGATACGTCCATTCTCACAGATAATTTACTATGGATTTTACAATTTTGTTCGTCCCAACTATACTGGTGTCGAACCTTCATACCCGATGGCATCTCTGCGACCGATCCCACTAAATGCCATGAGAAAAAGTCGAAAACTTAGTAAAAAATGAATGATAAAGGTTTGCAAAGGTAGTCTCGCCCGTTACATTTTTCAAAGGAGACCGGGGTAGCTGGCCACTATAGCCTTATTGAGCTTATCTCAATCTAGCGCCCATGGGGTCCGCAATGGGAAAGCCGTTCATAACTAGCAACTGGTGTATAATACATCTGAAACATTTACACAAATAATTAATGTGTTTTCTGATGTTAACTACATATATTTTCCTGATCAATTGCATGTATAAACTAATTGAAAACATAAAGTATATCATATTATTTTTCGTTTCTAGTGTGAAAATACATTAGGTATACTTCGTTTACTTTCTGTAGTGATGTGACCTTCAGTTTGACCGGCGCAGAGTAGAAAAGAACAGCACTAGGTCAGAAAAGGAAGGAGACAACTCTCGGCCAAACTCTTAACCGGTGAGGGGCGTATAATCCGTACAGTACTGCACGGAAAAATTGACCATTTCATCCACTACAATTGTATTGCTCAAATGTGCTGTTATTGGTACCAATTACTATTGAAAATATCAACGAGATGTTTATTTATATTTGAAGACATATTAAAGGTTTTTACGCTAGTTTTCGACTCGCACGACTATTCATGATTGAACCAAACGTTTGGCAGGTACTGTATGAAAAAGTATGTTAAATGAACAACAATCGAGAGTATAATGAACTTTTTTCTCCCTACCTACGATTTTGCCAGCGCGCATCAAAGACATTGGAAGGGGCACATCGCTAGAGAAAGTAAATGAAGTATATAACAAATGCATGCTAGTGTATTGTGCAATACAGCGAAAATAAGCCTTACTTACGATTAATCAGAAATAGAAATGCTGTTGTAAATAAGTAACGAGTTCAAGAAACGTTATTGTCAGTTAATTTGAGCAATTCTATTCTCGTCTAACTGGATGTGATAATGAAAAAGTTTTTTCAAAGCACGAAATTAGCGTAAAGAACTTAACACTGGCACCATCTGATTTGTATTCATCAAAAGTCGCCAAGAGCTGAAGGAGGACCGGGAGCATAAGTAGACTAATGGATCGCAATTAATTGGAGTTTTAGCAGTTCTTGCTGACAATAAGCTTTGAAACTCCGCATCCGGAATACTAAACTTCCTGCGCTCATACTTTTGAATATTCCGAAGCACAAAAATAAATTACTTTCACTTAATTAAAGATCCGTTAAAATGTGCTCGCCTTTCTCCTGAACACAGCGGTTCACTTGTGTATGAAGGGGTTGGACCCCTCGATTAACTATTCAGAATGAGTTTTATTTACCTATCCACTAATATACCCCGTTGTAAGGATTGTAAATCACAACAACGCGCAGGACCAAACACCTTAGAAATAAACGATTAGTTTATATATTAGTTTTACATTGATAATACCTTTCTAATGTATTCGCAAAAGTGAGCACCTCAGCAGCTCTCTCATTGTTTTCATGTCAAAATACTATCAGCAAACACAGTCAAGCAATAATGCAAGTACTATACCTTTCATTTGATACCACTCACAACTACATACGGGTAAGGCAAAATATTAACCGAACACAGAAATTAGGCACTCATTTGTTTATCGGAATTTTTTGTTTAGATCGAAAATACATTATTTCAGCCACTTCTAGCTGATAAATATCGCCTGTTTCTCTGAACTGTCAAAATCTTCATCCTTCACCTCTCAATACCTTTGTTCTTTATTTTTCCATATCATCCATCTGATGTAATGAATTAACTTAATAATCCACCTTGATAAAGCTTTCGACCAAAAAAGCGATACAAATAAATAATATTTCACCCCTTTTGACTGCTTTTAATTAAATAAATATTATATTCATATGTTTGCTTCTCAATTATCCCTAAAAAAACGATTAAAATCTTTAACTAGTTTTTTTCTTTTCGTTAAGTAATGTAAACCATCAGGACGTAGATGTTTCTTAAAAATTAATTCACTTCCTTGCTCTTTCGTTATTAAATTAATTCTTCTTGTGATACACATGTCAATTAGTCTTTGGAGAAGGGTCTAT